CTATTGTTATATTTTGATTAAAGTTTTCTCTTTTCTATAACATGTCTTTTTAAGATTTTTGTATAGTTATGCACAACAAAAATCTCAGATAAAATTCTCATGGGTTTATGTTATGGAACAAAAGTTGAGAAAAGAGTTTGAATAAATTTAAATAGAGGAAGAATAGAATGATCTAATAGAGAAGAAATCAATGTTCGTTGCAATGAGATTAAAGTGAAATACTTCTTTGATTTAGACTAATGCGCATGATTATTTCCCATTGGCAATCCAACAACGTAAGATCGATTATTAAATGATGATATTACACTCAGTTGTACGAGAAATTGAACAGACTTTACATTAAGCGGAATGATACTGGTCAGGTTGATCAAATTTTCAATCTAAATATATGAACTTGAGAGAAAAGAGCAAGAATGTTTTAAATAATGAAACTATTGTAATCATGCATGTTACATCGAACCAATCTTGAAGCATCATGATAGTAATGGAATCAATACAGTTTTAATAGATGATGGTATCATTCATGAATAAGCTTTGTGAACAGACATTTTCATATCAATTGTAATCACTTGATGGATATCTACTAGTAAATTGGTGGAAGCCATTATAGAGGCTACTGGTGCATTATTGCACAAACTACTATGAAATCTTTCTATAACTTGAATAAGCAACACAATAGATCGCGAGATTGAAGAAACTGTTTCTAATAGATGCTGTGATTGTTGAACGGCGATACAATAGAGTAAAGCAAGTAGAACCAAATAGCGAGTAGCTGTAGAGTGACGGATGATATAATTAGGTTTTCTTTTGACAAATCACCATAAGCTCTCGAAAATGCTGTTGTTCGACTGCTAGCAATGTTTGAACGTGTACATCTTTTAGTTTCTCATGTCCATAAATATGTTTAAACGGTCACGAAATTTACAGGTGTTTTGGTAATCGGCGCAGTGTAGTACAGAGCTCTTTTTCTGATTAAGCATTGCTTTTACTATACATACAAACATTTATAAAATTAGAGCACCATTTTTAGAGAGTTTTTTGAATCATTGAACTTTCGATCCTTATCTCCTCTTCAAAGGTAAGAATTTTAAAAAAAGGTTCTGTACTGCACTACATTCTGACACATTCTTTCAAACCAAAAAACGATCCATATATAGAATGAACTTGGACAGAAATATCGCTAGCCACATGAGCTATTTTTAACACTTTTTCAGCCGATCTATCCCTCAAACATTATGATATCGAACTGAAAGTTTTTACTATAGCTTCTCAATAACAACCCCAACAGTTCCTGAAAATTTGATGCCATGTGAACATTTCTGAAATGAGATCGATTTTTGAGTGGAAGAGGGCTTTAAATGAAATTTAAACCTTGTCCTTTCCATCTTCCAGTAATTCCGATATTCCAGAAATCGATATTGGCTTCCAGAGAACTTACAGAGCTGAACTCTTTGATAGGTAGGGACTGATCTAACTTAGAAAAATTCAAAACATCGACTGATGAAACCATTTTTTGGATGTCATAGTGCGTGGATGCAGTGACATAGCTATCAATTAACATAATTTAGAAGGGGAAACAAAGTCAGACAATAAGTCTATCAAATACAGATAGAAAATATTCGCAGGCCAAAGTAAGTCTTCTGTTTGGAAGAAAATACCTAATTTTCTTTTAAAATTGTAGTAAAAGGAATCTCTTTATTGAAATCAACTGATTTCCTATAGGAAATTCATAACTAATTCAGAAAATGTCTTAGATGCTTCGGCTTTTGTGCAATGAGTGATTAATAATATATTTATTTTTCAGAAAAAGAGTCAGATATTCAAATATACATGTCTCACTACAAAAAAGAATGCATAATTATAAGATATTTGCTTTTTAAAAAATTGATATGAGCATATAAGAAAAGCAAAGTTAATGTGCACCGTTAGTTCGTGAGTCCAATATTTCTAACCAATAATTTGGTTTGAAATGCATGTAGTACCAGGCTGTGGTGGTTCAACTACAACACCGCCGAAACCACAATGAAATTCTGAACAACATTTTTTAGTTGTATTATAGCATGATGCTCCTGATCCAAGACATTCTACACACTTGGCTGTTGTTTCATCGACTACTTGTAAGATACATCCTTTACAGCATGTAATTGTTGTACCTTGAAAGCAGCCAGAGTGCTTAGGACCTCTGATTGCGACAGTATTGCCTGCTAGAATTATACTTATCATCCCTATCATGAAGATCATCATAGGATTCATTCTAAAACAGATAATCAAATTCAAAATTTTCTTTTTTCTGATACGCATAAGCCACATGATGTAGTACTTACCTTACGATAAGATATTATCATAATGAAATCGTGTCTGTATTGAATAAATATACAATAATTAATCCAAAATTATAAATATGCATTTTATACTCTTTTTGATAAATGTGGATAGGCATATATGTAACCGTTAGAACGAAAGAGAAGGATTAATTTGTATTGGTGTACAAATAAATAGGTATAGATTACCTTCGCACATGAGCAATGGCAGGAAAAACAAAAAAATACGCCATTCTTTCCTTACATACGTTTGTTTCATTATGGATCATTACCACTCAATCTATTCACGGTAAAATTTGCATATACAGACACACTATTGAAATGACGCCATTAAATATAATAAAAACATCAAATAAACACAATAATTAAGCATGTATTCATATAACGTTGGAAGCAAGACCTAGACAAGCAAAAGTCAACTAAAGTTTCAAAAGATCAGTGCTACTTAACTTCATTCGTTAACCATTTTAGTAAATAATTAATTTCATAGTGGAAATAATGTTGACATTCGACTACTAGATCTTGAATGAATTTCATTATCGCGTGAGTCTAATCATGAAAATTGCACATCATTTCAAAAATTGAATTCAATGTTAGCGAAATAATTCCAATCCGCTAGAAAGAAAAAAAGAAATTTATCAATCGACATTTGCGTTGAGCTGTTCATTTGGATGTTTCCTAAGAAGAATTTTCTTCGAATGTATTCGGTGTATTTTGTCTGACTATAATGATGTGAGTATCAACGGTCAAAATCATTCATTACATGTGTTTGTCTTGTTGATCATGATCTTATCAAAAAGCCATTTGATTTTCATATTGGTTTTCTTCTTGATAAGGCTTTTCATGAAGAATTGACAAAAGTCATCAATTTTCGATTAAGAAAATACCTTTTTGATATCAAAATCTTCTCATTGACTTTTTTTTCGTTTTGAATACCTAAGAATAATCTAATGCGCAACCAAATCCTATTGTATTTTTAGTTTATTTATTTTCAAACATGAATAATTTAATTTATATCGATACTACGATTAATAAGATATTAAAATTGTACAAGTATAGAAAATATACTCAATTCTCATGATTTTATCATTTATGTGTTAATTAGAACACAGAAAAGTCTTCGTCGATCTATTTCTTACTGTTATCTTAAAAACCATGTTTACATATTATTAAGACTTTTTTCAAAACCTTCCACTAAATACTTTCTCACATCTATAAGAAATAACATAAAAAGAGATATCCATATTGTTTAAGAAGATAACAACAACATTGAACTCTGTATGGCTTATAGCTAGTTATTTGGTTTGCAATGAATTGATTATGGGTTCACATCTTTGTTCAAACTGTTGTTCGCTATGATGTATCCATTGAAGTCCGACATACAGTAATGGTCATTTTCGTTTTAATTTTTAGAAGCAAGCTGAACGCATTCAATATGAGTCTAGTGTTGTCATAAAATAACTATCATTGTAGCAAACAAATCTCTCTTCAATCATAATCATATTGCAATGTATTAGAGTTAAGAAGCACATCTTAATTAATTTTTAGATATGAACAAGCTGGAAAATATCTTCAATATGAACAATTTAAAATGTGTTAAGCCAGTTGAAAGTATTCACGCACGCCCTAAAAATGGCTATATGGTTTAGATAAGTTCGGTTGAGAAGAGAAAAAAAGCTACAACTAACTACTATATTATGTTATCCACTATCATTTGTGGCGCTATACAAACTTATTTATTATCTTGTCCTTTCGACAAGTGGTTATTTTTAACTTCTACAATAGTTTATTACATTTTTCCGCGCAATAAAGAATAGTTTATTTTGCTACTGTCAACATATCACAATAGTTAGTTACCAGATTTCTATATATATACATATATACATTTTCTTCAGTGGGGAGATAACGCTTTACTTTTCTGTACATAATATATATCTTTTGATATCTTTGATGTAAATAATTGTTCGTTCGAAAATATTATAAATTTAAATTATATTTTCTAGATTCAATCATGAATAAATTATATCTTATGATTAGTATTATTTACTTCATTGGCTTAAATGGTAATTTCATTTAATATATTGATTCTTTTTGTGATGTAATATGTGTCTATTTTTAAGATGGAGCAAAACTCCCAAAAAGTGAGAAACAACTTATCTTGACTGGTCGTGTTACATTTCCTGGCGGTTCATCTGTACCAATTGAACCAGATGGAAAATTAACAGTTGAATTACAAGATACATCACTTGCTGATGCACCAGCAAAAGTTATTGCACGAGGAACAAGCAAAGTAACTCGATTTCCAGTAGTATTTGGATTGAAATATTCACCGAGTCAAATTCTTGATGGACATACATACTCATTAGATGCTAGTATTAAAAATAAAAAGAATGAATTATTATATACCAATGATATTTATATTAGAGTAACACCACTTAGTGTTAATCGAAAAAAACTTATTGAAGTACCTGTTAAGCTTATCAAAAGTAAAGAGACAAAGAATTTCTTTTATAAAGTTTTCTTTTTTTTGATACTTTTAGAAACAACACCAGCGTCTAAAAAACATCACTGGCCTGAATTAGTTGGTAAAAATGGTCAAGAAGCAGTTCGAATAATTAAAAAAGAAACAGGTAGTATTGTCAGATTGAATACATGTAGAATTTTTTTTTATAATTGAAAATAGGTTTTACGAATGTAATGACAGTCAAAGAAGGATCACCAGTAACAATGGAATATAATCCGAATCGAGTACGTGTTACGGTCAACAAGCAGGGTATTGTAACAATTGTTCCAACTGTTGCTTAACCAATATGTTGGAAAACTAAATCAACAACATCAATAAAATAAACATTTCTCTTAAATATTTCTATATAAATTATCTCTTTTTTTAATATAAACTAGCATTATTGCATAAAACTCTAGCTTAAATTACTGATAAATGATATATCATGATTTTTTTTTCTAAGAGAGCCACTTATAAAAAAAAACAACAAACTGTAAAATATTCTTATCAAGCAATGATCTTTACTGTTAATATAATTGTATTATAAAGTACCTTTTTTGTATTTTTTTTTATTACAACACATTGGAAACTCATACATATTAATGTGACTCTTAATGATGTTTGTTCTTTTGCCCCACTATCAGGGTAGAGTGTGGGTGTGGATGGAAGAAGAGCTATGCCTACACCCACATAACTTCATTTGATATAATTTAGAAGGGGAGCAAAGCTAGAGAAAAAAATCTATTAAACTCAGATATGAAATACTCACAATTGAAAGAAAGTCTTCTATTTGAAGAAAAATGCTCATTCTCTATAAAAACTGTAGTGGAGGCGGCGTCTCTTTATTAAAAACAGCTCATTTTCCATGAACTCTTCAAATTAAGCTGTTTCTTTAAGAGAAGTTAGATTTTTCTCTTTGCAATGACGGTAATTTTTGGGAGAAAGGTTGAATGCAAGTAAAAATTTAGGAGAACGACATTCTCGTATGAAAAACGGTTTTCGACACGAAGCCTATTAGAAATATGAAGTATTTTACTAGTCATTGAATAATTCATCAACATTTTAAATTAAACGAGTTGAATGAAGTCCTAAATGATTAAATTATATGCTCTGCTGCGTTCGTTGTCATAACTAACTCAGAAAATGTTCTTGATACTTCGACTTTCGAGCAATAAGTGAATAATAATTTGTTTTTTCAAAAAAAGAAGTCAGATATTCAAGTATATATATCTCACTACAAAAAAAAGAACGCATGATTATTAGATATTTGCTTTTTGAAAGATTGATATGAACACATCAGAAAAACCGAGTCAATGTGCATTGTTAGTTCGTGAATTCGATACTTTTAACCATCAATTAGGTTTGAAATGCATGTAGCGCCAGGCTGTGGCGTTACGAAAACAACTCCACCAATGCCACAATGATATTCTGGACAGCATTGTTTATTTGTGTTATAACACGATGCTCCTGATCCAAGACATTTTACACACTTGGCTGTTGTTTCGTTGAATACTTGTAAGATACGTCCTTTACAACATGTAATTGTTGTATCTGCAAAGCAGTCAGTATGTGTAGAACACCCGGTTGCGATAGTATTTACTGCTAAAATTATGCTTATCATCACTATCATGAAGATCATCATAGAATTCATTCTAAAACAGATAATCAAATTCAAAAATTTCCTTTGAGATACGCATAAGCCACATGATGTAGTACTTACATTAAGATAAGATATTAACGTAATGAAATCGTGTCTGTATTGAATAAATATACAATGAGTAAATCAGAAATATAAGCATGTTTTTTATACTTTGATCAATAAATGTAGATAAGCGCATATGAAACTATTAGAACGAAAGAGAAGGATTAATTTCTATTGGTATTCAACTAAATAGATGTGGATTACCTTCTCACATGGGTAATTCAGCTTTATTCTGTCCCGAAACTAAATGAGTTTTAACTTCTCTTGAGTGTGATAGTGAAAACTGCACATTATTTGAAAAATTGAACCGAATGTTAGTGATGAATCTCAATCTGGTAAAACAATAAGAGAGAATTTGACATACCGTCAACGAAAGAGATTGATCAATGGAAATTGGTTTGGAGTCGCTCAGTTGAATGATTGCTAAATAGGTTTTCGATGAATTTATTCAGCGCTTTTGTCTGATTTTGATGATACTAGTGTCAACCATCAGAATCATTCATTCCATGTGTTTGACTTGTTGATCTTGATCTTATCAACAAACCATTTGATACATGAAAGTGAGATAAAATAACAGAAACATAGTTATGTGATCAAAACTGCTTCAATCGGTCATATCGAATTCAAGCAAAAAAGAAAAAGAAATCTTTTTTTAATGGAATCGATTCTGAATAAGCAGTGACAAAGTGAGTTCCATCGTTGAGCATTGGGATATAGTTAAGATAAAATCAAATTGTTTTTATCGATTGTTCTCTTCAGAGATGGACGAGTCAGCAAAAAAGTCGCACCGTCACCGCCCCGTCCCGCACCGCTGATAAAGTTCCACACCGCCACCGCCCCGCCTGTTTAGCATTGAAACCGCCACCGCCCCGCCCCACCCCGTCAAAAATATGTTTTAAAAAACTATTTATTGGCAAATTTTTCATTAAATTTTCATAATGGCTATTTCATTTCATGAGATGAAGAGGCATATTTTAAATGCATAAACATCATTCCGAAATAGAAAAAAATAAATATATGAAAATGAAAGGCAATTATAATACAGTCACTCATTTTGTGGAACTCACGTATATTTTCGAATAAAATAATGATTGTAAGTTTTAAGTTCGAGGCTTGGCGGCTCTCTCCCTTCCCCCACTCCATTACAGACACTCCACTCAGGGTTGCCAGATCTTCCGATACGGCAGGAAAAATTGCGATTTTTTGAAAGTTTCTCCAACGACTTTCTGACGTTCCGATTTTTCCGATTTTAACATATTTTTCCGATCGCCTTCAGATTTCCTAATTTTCCTCCGGTTTTCGAAGTCTTATTTGGGAATTCAAGTTCTTAGGACATTCTAGAATAGTTTAACCATGACACGACACCACACATATATAGCGATCTATTTCACCATAGTTATTGGGTAGTGAAGCGCATGAACTCAACAAACCACACTGCAGTGATTTGAAAGCATATCCTCCAATAAAACTATGATGTTTTACAGACAATTAAGATCCAGCTTTCTATCACGATGAACTAACTTTCTCTGTTCGTTTACTATAGTGTTAATTAAGAATATTTTCGTTTCTGAGCTTTTTTTGTTTCATCACAGATATAATAAAACTAATCATAATCATATGGGTACTAATTTAGCTGTTGCAGAAGTGAAAATCGGAATGAATTCTGTTTATACTTGTGGACATTTTTATGAATATCTGTTACCTCAACCTGATATTTTGAAGAGTATTCGAGCTAATAAAAAAGTATGAACAAAAACGAACATTATACAGAGCAAGTCTTAGTTTTCTTTTGCATGAGTTTTGTGAAATGCATGTGTGTATATGAATTTACAATACTGATTCTATTGTTTCGTCAAGTTGGTTATAGGATTTTTGATAAAAATAATGTGATCCTGTTCAAATTACTTATGTAGATTTCTCAATCATGAGTAAATTGTGTAATCGATATTTCCTTTAATTCTTTATGAAATATCATTTCCGATATTGCTTCGAAAAGATGAACAGAAGCAAGATAAAGGATATTGAAGCTATCGAAAATATATAAACTAGTTATTTAAGCATGGAAAAATACTTTCTGCTTTTCTTCCGATTTCGAGAACAAAAATTCCGACTTTTTCCCGATTTTTAGAAAAATGTTTCTGATTTTTTAATTATCGATCTGGTAACCGTGATCCCCACCATTACAAACCTCAGCAGCGCATAAAAGACTCTAGTTTTTTGTATAATATATCAATGATTTCATACGTATTCGGAAAAAAGGTATTTTACAATTTAAAAATAAGGCATCAGGACAAAAAATTAAAAAAATATATGTGAGTTCCATATTTTAGCTCCTCTGGAGCTGCGCTAACAAGTCTTTTTTTACTGATTAGTTTTGTGAAAAAATTTTTAAATTTTTAAAAGATGTCTCTAAAGATCTGAGTATATTTAAAAAATCAAGGTTATACAAAGGCGGGGAAACCGCGAAATTTCGTCATGCACCGTCACCGCCCCGCCCCGTCAAGTTTTAGCACCGCCCCGCGGCGGGGCGGGACGAGGCGGTTTTACACCGCGGCTCGTCCATCTCTGGTATCAACTTTCTTAAGTGGACATGGCCTTTGGACACCCTGTAATCGAACTACATGTTCAAAACAAGTTATGAAAATAATCAAAAACAAAGGATATTTTATACTGTGCAATTGATGCCATCAAATGTCGAGAGGGAGTCATACTGAAGTACAGATAACTATAATGGATGAGTGAAATATACTGTTCTAAAGAGGATATGGGTGGTGTGGGTGTGAGTGGGTGTGTGTGTGAGTATGGTTATTGGTCTCCTCTTCAACCCACACCCACACCCTTTTAAAAGAAGTACGAACTGAATTTATCATTCTTACATACTATGGAATCTATAAGGAAACTAGTATTCAGGAAAAATCAACATATCAAATCGATGTTCGAGTCACGGTCAATCACACACATGGCGAATGAACTTCATTTGTTAAGAAGAAAATGCTTTTTATATTTCTTTGAGTCCACAATCACAAATGGAAAGAAAAGCTTCGCCAGAATAATTGTTACATTCCTTGAAGGACGAATATGGGTGGCTACTTATACACACTCTTGTTTTTTGCTTCAGCTTTTCAAGTACTCTATTAACTAATAATTTGCTAAGACTTTTCTTTCTTCATCAAACAAACTAACGGACACGAATGCTACGTACGATAAACATGCTGCTAACTTATATTTTATTTTGCTTGCTGATTTC